ATCTTAAAATTCTCAAACACATAAGAAAATAAGTTTAATATACTCTTATATAAATTTCACTCCAATCCAATTAGTAGATTGCAAGAAATCTTAAAAATCCTCTTTAGACCTAAAATTCTACTTTTTGAGACCTTGACCCACTTAAACCTCAATAATCCTCAATTCAATTGTTAGATCAAGCTAAGATTTACAACACATATTAAACACAACTATGAACATTAGCTTACAAAATTTTATTCGTAGATCTATTACAAAACTCTTGAATTTGCTAGAAACGTCAATCCTATTTTATTTTACAAAACCCAAGTCATCCAAAAACAATCTTAACTTTGTAAAACTCTTAAAAAATCTTAATAACTCCAAATCGTCCAAAATCAATGCTTATAGAAACCTTATCTAGTTTTTTTATTAAACTACATTCTTTGATCTACAAAAGAACTCTGGAGTTATCGTCGTGACTCAGTTTTGTGTCTCAGGGTCTGATTTCAACCCTAGTTCATAACTGACCCTCTCTGGATATCAATATTTAATTTTTCTAAGTAAATTTTACTAGAATTTACTCTTAATTTCTTTTTTAAGATGCTTATATCATTTATTTTTCTAATCTACTTTATTTTGACTTATTTATGTTCCTACAAAGTAGAAGTCACCTTTATAAAAAGGCAACATTGGTATCTTTTAGTTTTATTAATCTTTTGACTATTAATTATATTTTTAAAATAATTTTCTCTAATACTTTGAATTAAGATCTCTTATATTATAATAATTTTTACACTCTTTTACCTATTAGTCGTATTACATCATGATGGCACCTTCTAGATGATGATATCATTCTTAAAATGAATCTATGATTACAAGAAGTTCTTTATCGTGGATTTCATAGTCAATCTTGGCTATTGAAAATTATCTGGAATGAAAAGCTACTAAGTGAAGTTTATCATCTGTTTCCATTTGTGATAATACAGCATCCAAAGCAAAGTTTGATGCATTTTTTTTCATAAAAAATACCTTAAAAAAGTTGATGCGATACAAGATTGGTATAGAAATAAAGGCTGACTTCAAAGTTTCAAAAGATGTTTTAGCTTCTTTGCTCTACTCAAGTTTGTCTTTGCAAGTCAAATGTGTAAGTAGAGCTACAATTTGAGAGAAGTCTTTGATGAAGATCTGATAATAGTTAGTAAAGCCCAAAAAGCATTGGATATTTTTTACCATTTTTAAAATCTTCCAATCTATAATCGTTTGAACTTTCTTAGGATCTATCATAAGTCAATCATTTGAAATAATGTATCTTAAGAACTCGACTTGAATAGTATGGAATACACATTTTTTTTATGTTGGCATAGAATCCCACATCTCTTAATTTTTTATAACACATGAAAAATATGAAGTTTATGTTCATTTGAAAAATTGATCAAGATATCGTCCAGATAACATACAACAAAGTCATCTAAAAATTCTTGAAAAACATCATTCATTAGATGTTGAAGAGTTGCCGATGGATTTATAAGTCCAAAAGACATGACGTTATATTCAAAATGTCCATATCTAGTTCAAAACATAGTCTTCCAATCATCTCCTTCTTTAATACGTACTAGATTGTATGCTCCCCATAGATCTATTTTGGTGTAGATCTTAGCTCGATTCAGTTGATCGAGAAGTCCGGATTTCAAAAGTAGAGGGTACCTATTATTAATGGTGATCTTATTGAATCCTTGATAATTAATACACATCCACAATGATCCATCTTTTTTCTTCACAAATAAGATTGGAGCTTTTGCTAGTGATTTGGAATGGCATATGAAATTCTTTTTCAAATTCTCTTCAATATATTCCTTGATTTTAGCCAATTCGTTTTGTGATAAACTATAGATTGGTCCAAATGGCGGTTGTACTTCTTCTTGAAGGTCAATTGAGCAGTCATAGAAATGATGTTCCTAGAAAAGTTATCACATTTTTCTTCTCAAATATATCTTAAAATTCTTGATATTTTTATGGAATGCCACTTGAAGTCTTTACATTAATAGAAATAGGTGTCGCATAAATGACACAAGGTGATCCTTCTTTTGCAACATGCAAAAAAGTACTCACACCTACAAACACAAGTTTTATTGTGCTAAACTTATGACTTTTTACTTCATTAATTTCACTCTTAGTTATACTTTAAGAAAAATCAAGAATATAAGAAATCCAATCTATGCAAGGATTATACTTTTTTAACTATGATAAACCTAAAATAATTGGATTAGAGAGAGAATTAATTATATTAAAGATTATGCAACTACTATGACTATTTATTGCTATATCTATAGGAAGTATTTTATGAATAACATCTCCAGAAGACAACGAATGACCATCTATGACTTCTACATGTACAGGTTAAGTTTTTTGTACCAACGGTATTTTATGACTTTTAACAAATTCTACATCTAAGAAACAAATTGAGGCTCCAAAATTTATCAAAGCGGAGGCTTTATAATTATTAGGTCCTAAATGTTCATCTATTATAATACAAGGAGAGGATTCTAAGGAGAAGATAGGATCTTCATTAGAAATTGTATAAGATTTCAATTGTATAATCCATATTGTAGTTGGACAAATTCATTTTTTCACACATTATCTTCTTTAATAATTGTGCTCCTCATTTTGTGATTTTGTTGCTTCTTTGAATAATGTTGAATAATGTGTTTAGGTTCGCCACAATATAAGTATAATCTTTCTTGACAATGACAAGTCTTTTCTTGCTCAATAAGAGGTTTAAAATATACCACATTGATTTGCATATCTTCTACTTTTAAATGTATGTGTTGAAGAGATATTGGTATTGCCATCAAATTGTAGTGACGTTGAGGCCCACTTGTGCAACTTTCAAATAAAAATTCAAAAAGTTAATTATCACACTTTACACCAAAGTCAATTGCTTGACTCAATGTTTGAGGAACATGTAAGTTGAACAACAATTTCTTTACTTTATATTATAATCTATAGAAAAATTGGCTAATAAGTACAACATCATCTCACTTGATATCAGTTGTAAGTTGTTAAAATTGTGAAGCATATAACATTACAAATCAATTGTTTTGTCACAAAATATGGATCTTGTTGGTTACAACACGAGTTACATCATGTTCTCCATACATAGAGCAAAATTTTGCCAAAAATGCCTCCAGATTATCTAATATTGGATCTCATCATTCAAAAAAAAGGTAAAAACCATGATAGTGTTGAATCTAAAAGAAGTCTATCAATGAATCTAACTTGTGATCCTAGAGTTAGATAGCTTTGAGGTTGAAATTCAATCACGAGTTGTATTTGATTCATAAATCCTCAAAATTTGGATCTTGTACCATCAAACTTCTTGGGTAGGGTAACTCTTAGTTCTCTAACACTGGAAGGATGTTGTACCATGGGTGGAAGGACATGATTTGGTACAAATGTTGAAGTAGCTCTAATCACCTCCATATCCTCACTTTCTGCCATTCTTGTTAATCCTTGTCGTGATAAGCTAAGTTAATGCATCGCAAGTATCAACTCCTTCAATTCCTCTTATATTTGTAACATTGCACTCTTCATCTCAACAAGCTCTATCATAATAACTCTCAAAAAAATATATAATATCACTCAAGACAAGTAGAAGAAAGGACTTGAAGACAAAAAAAATATTAAGAACAATATTAGTTTAGAAGAGGATAATTTGCAACTTCTAATATACTTATGTCTTATCATAAGAAAGAAATTATCTACTTTTAATCAAGATAAGTCAAAGCTCTGATATTGTAAGTATACTTTTGTCAATCTGTCAAGGACATGAACTAACAGATGATGTATAAACCAATGAAATTCATGTCAAAGAAAAATTTTAAAAATAGAATTAAAGAAGTACATATATTAAAAAGAAATTGGAATGGCTTATTGCCAAAAGACAAGAAAACTTGAGACTCTTGAAAATAGACTAAAAGCAAAAAAAAATTGAAAAGAATGAAGAAGACTTCACTCTTGTCTCTATATATACTGTCTAACTAGGAGTTATGTGGCAATGTTCTATAGGACCTCTAATATGTGTTGACTTTATAGAACACATGCCTTGACTTACAAGGTAAGTTTTTTATATCCACATCTAAGTATGTTCATAAAAAGAAATCATCTATATTAGGTTTTCAATTAAACACCACTATTCTAAAGATAGCTTATTAATCTTGGAGAGATGGCAAGTCATACTTCGAGGCAATGTGAACATAATGCAATTGGCACCATATAATGAATAATTTAGTTCTATTCTTACAATAATTGTATATAGAATATAGAATGCATGCAACACCTCGACAGAACATATTAACATCCAAAAACAATAAGTTAACATCCAGAAATGTAACAATGAATATTTCAATCAATTGAATTTTGGATCAATTTTAATTTAATTTTTTATTGAAAACAATGAAATATGTGGTAAATGAGATAAAACAAAGACTTGATCAATATACATAAACTTTTTTGATAAACTCCACAAAAACATAAACTCTACAAAACATAAATATTTTTGATGAAAACAATGATCAATCCATGCAATGAATGAAAGCCACCACTTGTCTCCTTGAGCAATCTTAATATATAGATTTAAAAACCAAAAAGTATTCATTTTAATATTTTTCTACAACCTATAACCACATCATTAGCAATATTTCAAAGAATTCAAATTTGTCATTATTACATATTTAAAATTCTACTTTCATAAGATAAAGATATATATAGTATTCTTACCAAACTTCAAATGATTCCTTGTCATCCTATCTACATTCTTTTTTGTCAACCTCTGAATTTTGGTTTTCAAATATAACAAAAATTATAAAAAAAACTCAAGCAAATAAATTGAGGATTAAAATCAAAAAATTCATATTCAAATCATATTGTAAAATAATAATTAGCATCGCTTAATCTTAATTTTAGAATAAGAAAATTGAGCATACTTTCAAGACCACGTAGATTGATTTCATAAAATATAAAAATAAAAACAAAACAAAACCAGAACCAAAATTGATAAGACTTACAATGAAGAGTACAAATTTTACATGTTAAGGCAGAGGGTGGCATGTATATGGCAATTTTCCACGCAAGGAAGTTTTCTTCTCACAACCATCGCTAAAACAATACCTCAGATGATGCTCCCTGAAGCACTCACCAAAATTTCAGCTGACGCTCCTAGTGAACCCCTTCTCGGTGCAGGTTTTCAGCTGCAACATGCAGAAGAATCCCAGCTATGGTGGTAGATTCTAAATGAACAAGGCTTTTACAATTAGAATTGAATAACGGGTCCTGGGAGGCGTCGGACAACGTAGGTATTATTCATATTACCCCGGGAGATGCGAATCTCGTCATCGAGATACAAATGCTCCATGAATCCCTCAGCTCCAGGCAACTTGACCGTCATAAACCCTTGCTCATCCATTCCCGGATTGTGCTCCTGGAATAGCTTCTTCCAACTCTGCAACTCGGTCTCGTTTTCAGGGTTCTTAGGTCGCAGCACGCTGGACAGAAACCTAATGGTGAGTTTCTCTGAACCAGGTGCAAAACTGCACTTGGCATGGTTGATAAGGTATCCCTCCAACTGTTCCGGCAGCTCGCCATCGTTGTTCTTGATGGTGATCTCCGAAGCCAGTACGTATTCCTCATCATTGGCGTATCTCACGTGGTTGTAAGTATCCAATAGAATAACCTCCTGCTTTAGGGGTTTGAATGCGCCGAATGCGGCCCGTTGAAGAGTGAAGGTCGATGAGAACACGCCTGCATCCGCTGATTCCTTCCCCTTCAGCGTCGACTTCACGGTTATGAAGCAGCCGTTCATGAGCTCCGGCACTTTGCTCGGCTCCGGGTTAGGGTTGAGTTTTTCCAGGGTTGCGATCAGATCCAAACATTCTTGAGTCATATTTCCTTCTGTTCTCTCCAGAAGACTGAGGAGCTCCTGCTTGACCCTTACCCTCTCTTCTGCATCTGTAGAAGTCGCATTCGAAGAACCATGTACAGCTCGCACATATCCACGAGCATTCCTTAACCGGGTAGCGCGCGACCCCGATGCTCCTGCCGAACACTTTCCTCTGAAAGAAGCCTCTGACGAAGAATAAGACGACGGCAAACACAATGTAGACGGCCCGCAAGAACGCGTCAAAGAGACGATTGTCGAAGCATGGGCATCGGTTCTAAAAGTTGTGAGCGATGGATTCACAAGCGCAAATCCAGAATTCAAACTCGGTAGTGAAAACAGGGACATTGTCGTCATTTTCACAAAGCTAACGTCCTTCCTGACGTGCTCCTCCTGAGATAACCCTTAAAAGACACACCCGAGCAGACACCCTGTTCAATCCTCCAAACCGTTTCTCCACCTAGCTCATCGACAGCCGGCCATTGTTCAAACAAAAGTTATCTGCAAGTCTCTCACACCCTCCAGCAATCCGAGAACCAGCCGTCCGAAAATTCTCACAAACGTATTCTGCACTACAAGCTCCACAGAATAGACTAGAATCGCAACACAGCAATAAAAAGACAGACACAGTCAGACATGACCAAGCTGAAAGCTAGTCCCAAGCTAGTCCTTACCAGATGCAATTGAATGGCCCAAAAGACGACGACAAAGATGCAAATGATCAGCTACTGCTGCATCACAGGAATGTGTCGAGACGAGGGGTAAACTAGAGACAATTAATCCTGTCACAATTGTGAAGCCAATCCTCGGCTCAACTTTCGACGGCATTGCTGAAAAGCCGAAAGTGGAGAGCCATCACCATCCGCGTGGGGCTCGTCCCAGCTTCGCTAGACGTGGACGCCGATGCTTCCTTGACGAAGAACGACGGTTTTGAGTCGTAGATGATGGTCTTCAAGGATACGGATACTTCATCTATTATTACGAATTTTGGAAAAGTGCACTAAATAATTGTAATCCTTTGTTGTTATAATCTAGCAATATGGACTGAAATAATAAGTTGTAATTTCAATGAAAACCTTGTCACTTGAATCCAAATATAAATTATTTAATATGAAAACGAATTAGTATATTGATTCTTAATCTTGGTTTTTAAATTCATTAGTAGGTTAGAAACTTGGCCAACAAGTTAGCCATGTATTGCACGTGTCGATAGTTTGTAATACAAGCTAACAATATGGCAATCATATAAAAAACTTGCTTTGCAAGTTAAGACATATATCTTGCAAAATTAGACACATGTTGGAGGTCTTGAAGGATATTGCCACATATCTCCTAGTATCATATACATACATATTTACTCCAATAATTACCTAAATGATTATGTAGAAATAAATAAAAATAAATTAATTTTATAATATGTTTTAGAATAGCTTCTTAGAATCTTTATAGATTATGCATTGACTTTACATGTATTTGTAGTTAATTAGTAGGTTAGAAATTTGATTAACAAATTAGCCATGTATCACATATGTTGGTAACTTGTAGAATAAGCTAACTATGTGGTGCATACATAAAAAACTTACCGTGCAAGTTAAAATATGTATCTAGTATAATCAACACATGTTGGATGTCTTATAAAACATCACTACATAGTTCTCAGTTATATAGTATATATAGAAGCAAGAGTGGAGCTTTCTTCACTCTTATCAACTTCTTTCTTGATTCTAGTTTAGTTTCAAGAGACTTTAGATTTCTAGTCTTTGGCAATAATCATTCTAGTTTTTTTTTTAATGTATATACTTTCTCACTATCATTTTGTCATCTCTCTTTGATACTTATTTCATTTGTTTATGATTCTTTTGTTGGATTCTTGTCCTTAACAAATTAACAAGAATATTAATTCATTGTTCATGTCTTGTTTTTATAAGTGAGTGGATTATCCCACTTTTATTATTATATTTTGAAGGTTGTATACTATCCATCTTTAACTAACATCATTTTTCTAACATTGGTTTTTTTGTTAAAAAGAGTAGATTACACCTCTTGTAAAAAAATTCATTTGATATTAGAGGTTGCAAATTACCTTCTTCTAATTTGACTTATGGATTTATTAAGTTATTTAAAATGGAAGAAAAAATCATAGATGCTATACTTAGTAAAAGTTAAAATAGATTTACAAATATTATAGATCTTTACAAGCTTCTCAATACTCTTAGAGTGAAAATTTTATACATCACCAATGCCTACCATTGTCAAGGACAAAGACTCGATGAGGAAAAATATACACCAAAGGCTATCTCGATATAATAAGTCAAAATATAAACAAGTTCTGTCAAGGACAAAGACTCGATGAGGAAAAATATACACCAAAGGCTATCTCGATATAATAAGTCAAAATATAAACAAGTAGGTATATTAAAAGGAAACTGGAATGGCTATTGCCACAAGACAAGAAACTAAAGACTCTTGAACCTGGACTAGAAGCAAGAAAGGAGTTGACAAGAGTGAAGAAGCCTTCACTCTTGTCTCTATATATACTATCTAACTAGGGGCTACGTGGCGACGTTCTATAGGACCTCCAATATGTGTTGACTTTGTAGGACACATGCCTTGACTTACAAGGCAAGTTTTCCTACGTGTGGGCCACATAGTTAGCTTGATCTTCAAGCTAACAACATGTGTGGCACATGGCCAACTTGTTGACCACGTTTCTAATCCAAAAAGTCAATTAAAGACACCTATGAAGTCAAAGCAGCGTCTAGGAAGTTTCTAGGAAGCTTCTATATTAAATATTATACAATTAACTTACTTTTATCTACTTTTACTTACTTCTACCTATTTCTATATGTAATTAATAGCTTACATGATTATGGCCGTGACATTACCCCCCCTTCTAGAGACGAGTTCCACGAGGAGCGGTCATCATATGTTGAGGAAATCTATGATGCGACGAATTGTATTCGCCACATACTCTGATCTCTGTTCTCTTCGAAGATGATTGATAGGGCCTCTCAACCATCGGTAGTGTCCCATACCAAGGCGGGAAGACCACTCAGTTATTTGATCATTATTGAGGCCTTCATAACTTCCTTCAAATAATACATTTGAAACACCATCAGGAGTCGTTCCTATCTCCAATAATATCACCAAACATCGAGAATCTCTTCCAAGGTCGTGATACCAAATGCGTTGTATCTCACCATCTATTCGAGGAAGAACATGTCGTTCTTGAGGGTCTTCATCTCGGTTGCGTCGTCTTGAAGGTTGTGACAATCGCAATGTCTCATCCGGTAAGTCAGCAAACGAAGGTTCTTGAGTTGAATCCACTGGTTGTTGGCTCTCCATCTAATTAGCGTCACAAATGCAAAGAAGTTACAAACAAGGATAGGAAATTGAATGTTATCTTGCCTCAATCTCGTCTCTTTTATAAGAGAGGTTTTCATCTTGGTTTTGATGGATGTCGTTGATGAAAAACTTTGACTTTAGCTGATGCATTTGCTAGATTCCTGGATGGCTCCCATGTGCGCTCACTAATATCATATCCGCGCCAATGAACAAGATATTCCAGCTTATTTCGACGCCGCCTTGAGTCTAATATCTCTTCCACCTCAAATTCTTCATTATTATCTACTTCTATAGGAGGCGGTGGCATTTGTCTTCTTCCTTGTATATCCACTGTCTTATATGGTTCAAGAAGAGACACGTGGAATACAGGATGGATCTTCATTGACTCCGGTAGATGTAACCGATATGCAACTGGGTTGATCTGTTCAGAAACAGAAAAGGGGCCAAGCCTACGATAGTCCAATTTATCACAAGGTCGAGTGGTCTTGATATTGCGACGAAGTAGCCATACCTTATCACCCACATTGATCTGTGGTTGCTCCTTACGATATAGATTTGCGTTTATCTTTTGTCGTTCTTGAGCTTCCTTCAATTGTGTCTTCATTATTGCATGTAACTCTGACAACCGATTTGCCATATCTTCTGCTGCAGGATTATCAACTTTTGAAAAATCAAAAGTATCAAGTCGTGGATGATAGCCATAATTGGCAAAGAAAGGTGTTTGTTGCGTGGAAGAATGTACCGTATTATTATAAGCAAACTCTGCCAATGGCAGAAGGGTTGTCCAATCATCTTGTTGGTAGTTGATAGTACACCTTAAATATTGCTCCAAGACTTGGTTTACGCGCTCTGTTTGTCCATCAGTTTGAGGATGAAAAGCCGAAGATAGTTTTATGTCCACTTTTAAAATCTTGAAAAGGGTCCTCCAAAATCTTGACACAAATTGAGTTCCCCTATCCGATATGATATCTTTAGGTAATCCATGATAGCGATAGATATTATCAATGAAAAGCTTAGCTGTTTCTTCACCTGTGATAGATTTTGTACATGGCACAAAATGTGCCATCTTGGTGAAACGATCTACTATCACAAATATAGAATCATAAGATCTTGAGCTTAGAAGATCTGTGATGAAATCCATAGAAACAGAAGACCATGGTTGTTCTGGTATAGGTAATGGCTGAAGAAGTCCGTAAGGTTGATGACGAGGAATTTTTGATCTTGAACAAATATCACATGATTGTACAAAGTCTTTGATTGACTTCCACATTTGTGGCCACCAAAAGTCTCTTGATATGAGTTCCAAAGTCTTATTATATCCAAAGTGCCCTGCTGCTGGAAAGTCATGACGTGCTTGAAGAACACATAAACGTGCTTCTCCTTCTGGAACATATAGGCGTCCTTCAAAATATAATAGATTATTCTTGAACTCAAACTTAGAAGGATCATGAGACTTGGAAGAATTATTCTCGATATCATAAACAACAGGGTCTGAGGACATACTGGACTGGATTTGCTTGAGAAAAGTTGAATCAACAGTCAATGTTGATTTCATTGCTCGGAGATGAAATTGCTCCGGTTTCAAGAGGACCGTTCTTTGTTGCTCAAAAGCTGCATCTCCTTCTTTTGGTGCAAAATAAGAACGTCTAGATAGGGCATCAGATAAACCTTGTTGTTTTTCTGGCCGATAAGTGATAATGAACTCGAATCTTGACAAAGACATACTCCAACGAGCTTGACGACGATTCAACACGCGTGCTGACATGAAATACTCGAGGTTCTTGTGATCTATATACACAGTGACTGGACTAGAAGCGCCTTCTAGATAATGATGCCATTCTTGAAAGGAATCCACGATCGCAAGAAGTTCTTTATCGTGGATCTCATAATTGATCTCGGCTGCTGAGAATTTTCTTGAATGAAAAGCTATCGGATGGAGTTTGTCATCTGTTCCCATTTGTGATAAAACTGCACCCAAGGCAAAATCTGATGCATCTGTTTCCATAAAAAATGCCTTGGAAAAGTCAACACGATATAAGACTGGTGCAGAGACAAACGATGTCTTCAAGGCTTCAAATGCTGCTTCCGCTTCTTGATTCCATTGAAATTTATCTTTACTAGTCAAGCGTGTAAGTGGAGCTGCAACTCGTGAAAAATCTTTGATGAAGATCCGATAGTAATTGGCAAATCCCAAGAAACATTGAACATCTTTTACTGTCCTTGGAATCTTCCAATCCACGATTGTTTGGACTTTCTTAGAATCCATCATGAGACCATCATTTGAAATGATTTATCCTAAAAAGTCAACTTGAGTAGTGTGAAATACACACTTTTCCATCTTGGCGTACAATCCTGCATCTCTAAGTTTTTGTAATACTTGACGAACATGTATTTCATGTTCTTCGACGTTCTTGGAATAGATCAGGATATCGTCTAGATAGCAGACAACAAAATTATCTAAGAATTCACGAAATACATCATTCATGA